TCAGCACAGCAGGGGCACGGGGCAGAGCTTCAGCGCTGGGATTTCAGCCCAGCCTCACCCCCCCCCACCCCCATGGTCCATCCCATGCCTGCCCTCTCCGTCCCTCCGCTCGCTGCACTGCCTGCATCCCGGCACTTCTCGCTGCAGCTCTCTAGCCTTGCCCTGCCAACCGCTGTCTTTCCACACACACACCCCCCATCCCTGCCTGCTTTGCAAAGACTAAACTGTTCCAGAGAGTATTTTTATACCGGGGCATCTCTTGCAGACCTCGTGACTTGCACCAGAGCCTGGCTGCAGCAGCTCTGTTTTCTAGAGGCACAGTCACATGGCGGCTGGTCACACTGCAGCTCTTCCTTTATTCCCAGCGCCTTTCAGTTCTCCTCCTCTATTTTTTTTCCAATACATTTTGCTGCCGTAGCCTATCCGGGGTGCAAGCAGCCCCTTGAACTCACAGAGACACCCCACCAGCAGGCACAGGGGCGTCTGCCCCAGGGCCTTTGGGGGTCCCACCAGCATCGCAGGACCCCGCAGGAAAACATCCTGTGTACCCAGGGGAGGGAGCAGGGCCCACAGCAGACACAGAATCATCTGCTCTTCTGACGTCTCCCCTCTAGTGGCAGCAGCCAAGCATCCCTCTTGGTTGGTGTTAACCCTCACAAGACTTGATATCCATGTTCTCCAGGACTTTTATCCTCTTGTCCTCCAGCAGTCACCGACGCCTCCATTCCAGGAGCATCCTGCAGCAGGGAGTTCCACGGCTGGATCTGAACACGCTGAGCTATTTTTTTTTTCTTCTGTTCGAACTTGCTCTTCTCGGTTTCAGTACCTGTTCCCTCTTTTCTTGCATTATGACTAAGGGAAACTCCCGGCAGATTGCTTTGCTGGAGGAGCAGCGCCTGGGCTTTCAGTCAGCACTTTGTTGGCGTGCGCTGCGTTACATTTCCTGCAGTCCCATTTCCATGCTCCTCTCCATGCCGCCCTTCTTTCCTCCTCATCCTCATGCACTTGCTTTCACCGTTCTCCCTTACAGAACAGAGCAGCGCCGAGCCCTCCTGCGGGGTCTCTCTAGCAGAGCTTGAAGCCGTGTCAACACCAGCCACCCCAAACCACAGACTGAGCCCCCCCCGTCAACGCTGCCCCCCGCAAGCCCCGGGACTGGCAGGATTCACCCCAGACCTCGCGGCCCCAGGGAGCCCCCGTGCACAGGGCAGCCCATTGCTCCTCGGGCTTCCCCCTGGATGCTGTCGGCCATCGTGGCACGCAGAGCACGGGCGTTTGCTGGGCTCCGTGAGGATGCATTTGCAAGCTCCATGTACTGAAAATAACCAGGAAAGTGGTTTGCGTGCCTGCTGCCCGGCCCTGGATCCCACAGTGCCACCGGAGCGCTGCCCGCTCGCCACAAGCCTCGGGAGCTTCATCCTTATCCCAACACGCAGCGGAGTTCCCCGAGGGGCAGCTCTGCCGGAGCCCCCCATGCCCTGCATCCTCCCCAGCCACCCCATACATTTCATGTCCCCCTTACCTCGACCGGGCACTGCTGTTCTTCTCCTTAGACTGCAAAATCTCCCGGGCCGGGCCCCCGTCCCTGCATTAAACCGGCCCCGAGGGGTCCCTGGGCTGCGGGAGGACTTCTACATACAATCCCACTGCAGCAGGCAGCAACCACGGGCCCCCGCGGGACACACCCCGTCACTCGGGGTTCAAAGGGAAAGCCTGGTGGAAAGAGGAAAAGCAAGATCTCCCGGAGGTGGCGGTGACAGCCAGGGCATCCGTGTGTCACCGGGAAGTTTGATCTCTGCGGCCGCAGACGCGCAGCGCTGCTCCTCTG